TGGAACTCTTTCACTCTTAAATAAAGCTCAAATTGGCACAAATATCTTTAATTCTTAACTGGAAAATATTTAATATGCACTTTAAAAAGGATATGATTTAGAATAAATTCAGTTATAAAATACAAATGTTTAATGATTATTTCATAAGTTCTAGATGTTATTTTATTACAAATTTGAACAATATAAATTTGTTTTCTATATTCAAATCATGTCAAGATAGATTTTGGTTTGTAAGACATAATAATCAAACAAAAGAGTTACAGATGTGATTATTTGCATCAGAGGTCCTCAGAAAACTGATTGGCACTTAGAGTTTTTATTTCAGTTAAAGGAAGTACTTTTTATTTTAACTTGAGGACAAATATGTAATTAATGATGGAAGAAAACATTAAATTAGTGGAATTCGGAATAGTACCTAATGCATTTTCTGAATTTAAATAAGAAAGTCTTGGAATTCCACTAGTCTATAATGATGGGTTTCTAAATTTTTATTTCTCACAAAATTTAAGGTTCTTTCTTGAGTTTTTGTACTGGGCTTAATAGTTTCCCCTCTTAAAATTCCAAGATGAGAGTATTTGTTTAAATTTTACAAGATGACTGAATTAGCAGTCCTGTGTATTACAGTATTCAACTTCATCGTGAATCACAGCACTGCCAAACCTGTGTACTTTGTTCAAAGTAGTTTAGGGGATGAAGTTACTCTGGGACCACAAGAGCATTGTGTGTGTGTGTGTGTGTGTGTGTATCTGGAAGAGCAAAATCAAAACTATTACTGTTTGCAGTGTACTATAGAAATCACAGAAGGTGAGCTGATGATCTTTGTATTGTACATGCAAATGCTGACTCTTACACATTCACTGGCTTGATGCTACCTAATTTGGACATGTTCAGCTAGGTCTTTGAATTAGAAGTCCATGTATATGTTAACTTTTTTTTGCATCAATATGACTTTAACTTTCTGGATATATTAAATATTTTTTTAAGTTCAAAATAATCATAGACTTAGTTTATTGATTTAAGAACAAGTAAACCTCTGTGTGTGTGTGTGTGTGGTGCCGGGGATTAAACCCAAGCATTCTACCATTGAGTTATAGTCCAAGACACAAAGTAATCCTCTTAAATGGCTTGTATCAAAATAAATAACTTTCAGAATATAGGTTATGATTTTAAGGAACACATTAAATTAGGATGAACGTGTTCCTGAAAATGGATAAAGAGCTTTAAGTTTGAGAAAAACAAGTAATTTGAGATATTTATAAATTCTAGAACATTCAGATTTAACACCTTTTTGTTCTGTGGCTTAAATTTTTTAAAGTAGAAAAAAGGCCATGAATAATTCAAATGCATTATAATAAAGCCAATAATAATATAAGTTTTGATAAAATGCAGTTTATCTTGTAGAAATACTAAAACTAATGGAATTCAAGAGGATTTGTATAAACATATATATATATATATATACATATATATATATTTATATTGAAAAATGCAGAGCTGTTTTTGGTATTTATGAAACAGGAAAATATTTTCTTAGTTTACTTAGATAATAATTTATACTTATAAGATTTTTAGATAACATGAATATTACCTTAATACATTAACAGATTATCACTTGGATAGACACAAATATACAAACTTCTGTTGTAAAGGTATTTGTCCAAGAAATCTGATTGTCACATTACCTTCTTAATCACATTTAGTACAATTTGAAAGTGATTTAATATTTTATTTGCTTTCAAACATATAATGACTAATTTTAAAGTATACTCAGATTTCAAAACTGAATCAAACCACTAAGATATCTTAACCATTGTTTATCACACAGAAGAATATGAACCTTAGAGATGCCTAAATAAATTTGCCTTCTAAACCTATAACCATCATTTCCCCAAATGTCTTAGAAAATTCTGAGACTACTTCAGAAAGAAATTAACAGATAAAAGGTGGGGAGGAAATTTAGTAAGTGTTCTGTGGTCAAGTAATTATTTTTTATTGCAGGCTATGCAAATTTGTACTGTGACTCAGAGAAAGAGAACAAAAATCTTCCACTTCATCACTTAATTTCCTTTTATAGAGTAGGCATAGGATAATAATTGAAAGAAAGTTTAGTAATTATGTGGTCCATTTCTCAATGAGTAAACAGCCCTTCTATTTGCATTGATTCCTTTAAGTTGTTTTTCATTCCAGTGAGGAAAAAAAACTTAATGAAACCAAAATACTATTTCTGTACTATTTTCCATAGGTAGAGCAAAGGACCAGCATAGAAAAATGCACTTGCTAGTGAAGAATTCTCTAAGATGGATTTCTGTATCATAGGAGATCTTCCTCTTAAGAATGTTTTTCTTTGTGGACTTTTTCTTAACAGAAATGGGTTATAAATATGTAGAAAAGGAATACAAGATTTCATATGAGCCAAACAATTTTCAAGAGGCTTGTTTGGTTATTATTTGCCCAATGAATATTCTCCTAAAGTAATTTAAAGCTATATATTAAAAGCATATTTACTGAAGTTTATTGAGTAAAATGGCTCATTGAGATTTCATTAGTTAAGGCTATATTCAGGAATTTTTCTGTTTGGGGACCATCAATAAATGATAATTGGATCTGGAGATGAGAGATCTATTTCAAATTGGAGTTTAATTGATATATTCACATGGTTATATCACTTGATTTGCATCTTTGCTTACATAGCAAATGTAGATTAATATTCTTATGTCTCCTAGTGTTCTTTTAAATATGAATGATGTTAAATAAGTCTTATTCTACCTAATTTAAAAACCATTACTATGGAGAAAGGCAGGTTTGCAAGCAACATTAAGTCATTGTGTAAAAGTCCAAATCCTGCACCATGCTTGTTCTGTAAATATGGTTTTATTGTTTGTACATTGTCTACAGGCTCACTCATTTGTTTATGCACTGTTTACAGCTACTTGCATGCTACAAGTAGCAGAATTGTAGCAGAGTAACTGGTTGAATAATTCCAGAAAGTCTACAGAATTTGCTACTGAACTCTTTGCAGAAAAAGTTTGCCAGCTACTGGAAGTGTATTATCTAGTAATCAGAAAGAGCTTAATGGAGCTGCTGTAGGAGGTTGCCATCCAGAAAGTGGTCCAATTGTCATAACATGTATATGTTTGTCTGTGTGTATATCTATATAGCTATATCTGTATGTGTCTAAACTTCCTTATCAACCAGTACTATTCATATTTGACACTTTATTTTTCTACAGTAATAGCAAAATGAAAGTTGTTTGGGGGACCTCCCACTCAGTTTAGCTAATACTTTTTTGTATACATACATTTTTTGATGCTGAACTAGTATATTTTTTATTCTCTTGTCATTGGAGAAAATAAATATTTTTATTTTTATGAAAATATCTCTTGAGGTACAAACAATTCCACAATTGTAGTTTTATAGACTAATAGGTATACTTGACTATATTTCACATTTATACCATGGAGGCACTCACCTGGTTTTATGATTAATATTAGCATGATATTAATATTCTGTTTTAAAATTTGACAGTCAATCAAATTGTTATTAAAATATGGCTATTAATAGTTTATTAACTACTTATTAAATAGTTGAGTCAAATTTACTGGCATATTTAGAAGTCATATTATGTGAACTCTATACAAATGGTTATCCAAGATTTTCTTATTTATTTCAAGATATTTTCTTTTTATATTACTTCAATTAATCAGTTTTTACTTACTATTTGTAACTAGCAAGAATTATCTAATATACAGCAACATTTTTGCAGGGCAGGGAGTAATATTTAAAAATTAAAATATTAAAAAATTAAAATATTGGTTCAGAAGAGGATACTGTAACCTCTAATTATGCTAGAATATTTTCAATTCCATTTTTCTTTGTTGCTATTTTTTAAATCACGTAAGTATTAAAATATTCATTTTTTAATAGATACACTTTTGTCTGAATAACTTTATTGCAGCTTTAAAATAAGGGGTTATATACATCTCGTAAAAGGTACATTTTTACCTGAATACACAGTGTTTGTGAATTTACACAATGACATTTTATTATGGCTAATCTTTTAAACCTATTAAGCTTATTTTTTCTACTACATAAATGTATAGTATATAATTGAGATTTTTGTTCTTCCGTTATATGTATTTATGAGAAATTGAATTTTCCTACAAAATCTCTTAATAAAAATTATAAATATACTTTTAAGATTTTTCATATTTGCTAGGATTTGCTAACTGAATTTAGCTCATATTCCAACCAAAGTTTTCAAAGACCCTTTGATTTCTATAATTGATTGGTTTTGAGGTTGAACAAGTTACACAGGCCATTGATATTGTTTAATGATAGGTTCACCCTTTCCATTTTCATCTCCTTGCACCTATTTTTTTTAAATTGATTTCAGTAATACTTTGTGCCTTTACTGGCCATCTTATGTTTGCAGGAGTAGTATTCCAAGGGCCTCTTTCTGGATTCTAGTTCTAGAAAATTCTAATTAAAAACTTCTTTATAAATGGATCCACTTGTATGTTCTGGAATAACCTGCTTAAATATATGGCCTAAATTTTATGATAATAGTTCCTAAACTTGTATTTGAACCCAGTTTGGCTTACTGAAAACTTTGTCATCACTGAATAAATCTTGATGAATTAAAAGTCAAAGTTCTTATACTGTTATTGTTATCAAATATGTATGTTATCTAATATATTTTCCTGGATGTAGATGTACCAGAAAATGTTTTCTATCTATTTTGGAAGATTTACTGTCTTTCCTTAAATCAGTTTACATTTTATCTAGATTAAAATTATTTTTACATATTTCAAAATCATACTTACATTTACCAAATTTCAAACTTTGAATAAATCTAAAAAATAATGACATTTAATTTGTATATACTACTTTGGGTGAAAGTAATATATTAGTCTATCATTTCTTCTTTTATGCATCCTATAAGTAGGAGTCAGATAAAAAGAACTAAACATTAATTTTATGGGTTTTTTTCTACTCGATAGGTGCTATGGATATAGAGGAGAGAAATCGCCAAATGAAAATTAACAAATACAAACAGGTAGCCGGATCAGATTCCAGACTGGAACAAGATTACCATTCAAAGGCAAGACATTTTTCTTTTTAAAAGTTGTAAAATAATCAATTAATCATATGAAGCCATTAGATTCTTTCATACTACTGAATACAGATTAGTCAGACACAAACAGCAGTGGCCCCATGATATTATTAAGTGTTAAAATTTTTGTGTTTGTATATTAGCTCTTAGGGATAGACTTTGACTTATTAAAAAAGATTAGTATATAGTATAGGACATTAAAGATCTGAACAATAAACAGACTTTTTCATTTTATAAAATCTGAAACCTCTCAAAAATGTTTAGGAAGAATTATTATCTTCTTTGATTTCTTACTAATTGTTTTCTTTATAGATTTTAGTTAAATATGGCTTACTATTGAGTTACTGAAACAAATTATATACTATTGAAGTATGATTAGTAATTGAAAAGATCTTTTAGTAAGAATTTTTTGAGCTACTTTTTTTGGGAATAAGTTGAGGTATGAATTCTAGCAAAGAAGAAAATAAAGACTTACTTCATTGCCCTTTCTCTTCATGTCCTTTGTTTTCAAATTGTTTTTGATTCATGACAGGATTGTATATCATGAGTATCATGTGTACTGTATTACACATGATACTCTAAATAATAGTGTGAAAGCAGAAGATGATATATCAAGAGAAAATAAAGTCAGGACAAAACATATTAAATTCCGAAGTGAAGTTTGTGGACAAAATACATAGTGTGAGCTATTATACACCTGTGTCTTGTGAGGCATGTGTTTTGACCTTGAACTTCCTAACACCAGCAAATGCAGAAAGGAAATTATCAGCTATATGATTTACATTGCTCATACAATTAAAAACAATTTCATTAGAAGCAATAACAATGATTCTTGACAGAATTTTATTACAGGGCTATCAACCAAAGAAATACTATAAGCATAGATAAGAATATTTTTCTCTGAAATAAATTTGGATTCCACTCCAATTTATGGATAAATGAATGTTTAAGTCCTCAAAATTGCGTAACTTTTGACACCAACCATTGTTAAGTTGGGAATAAAATTCTATGTATTAGCAAAGAACTAATTATACTAAGAAATATAATTTCTTATGTATTCTGTAAAGTAATGGTTTTTATAGTTTCGGAGCAGTAGCATCTTCATCACCTGGATGTTTTGGAAGCAGTTCTCTGGGCTGTCTCCAGACCTGTGGAATCAAAATTCTCTGGTTGGGGTCCCTGTTGGGAGTTTCTGATATAAACTAAAGCTTCAAAACTAGTTATCTAACCTAAGCAGATTGTGAAATTCACTTTTAGATAATTGGAGTTGAATTTCTTAATTACAGTTTTAGCTCGAAGCCAGACATAAGTACTGTTATCAAAAAATGGAGACAAATTTAGCCAGGCGTGGTGGCTCAGGCCTGTAATCCTAGAGGCTCCAGAGACTGAGGCAGGAAGATATCAAGTTCAAAGCCAGCCTTAGCAAGAGTAAGGTGCTAAGCAACTCAGTGAGACACTGTCTTTAAATAAAAATACAAAAAAATAGGACTGGAGATGTGGCTCAATGGCCGAGTGCCCCTGAGTTTGATCCATGGTACAAAAAAAAAAAAAAAAAAAAGATCAATTTAGAGACTAAATCATTTGACATTTTTGTAAAGCTTCTTACAGGTTCTAACAAATCCTATCATTCTATTTTCTATTGCTGGAATTATGTAGTCAGCTTATTCTAAAATATAATCAAGTCATGAAAGTACAATTTTTTTAAAGGGTCCAAAACAAAATGCTATTTTGTATTTCTACAAATTATTTCCTGATGTCGAATTGTCTTGCTGGGTGACCTATCTCCCTATCATCCCTAGGTTGATCTTCTTTAAAGGTAGAAAAAAGAATTATAGAGGATTCCTCTTTAGTAAAGGGCACAGATAGATAGATAGATAGATAGATAGATTGATAGATTGATTAAATTATTATTAGTTTCTATACTAACAGTTTCTCAGATTAAAATTTTTAACATCATCCCTCTCTTTTTGTTGAGGGGTGCTTAGCTTGTATTTCCATTCTTTACTTCCTTATTTTGATTTAAAATATCAATTATGGAGTCCACTGTAGAGCTCTGTGTTTTTAAATATAAAGTCTTATTCCTGAAAAAAAAATCATTTAATAAATAAAAGTACTGTTATACAGTAGCACAGGGATAAAGGTGTCTCCCCAATGGGTTCCTGGTGCAGGTTACTAAAATAAATAACCTTCCCAAGTTCACATAGCTAAGTCATGGAAAGTATTATTTATTGCTAATTTGAAATAACTGGGATGATATCTAAAGCCTCAACATATGAGCATATGCTATATACTTCTTAGCTATATTCCTGAAGTTTCAATAAAGTGATTACAAAGCTTTGTATGGAATCTAATTGAATGCTAGCCTAGGTTTTTAAAAAAACTACAGTTCACATTCTAACTTATATTACTTCTCTAAAATTCTCAGTACTTCTTTATGGATAGTTGTAAATAATTCTTACTAAGTTTAAGAGAAAAATTTTAGTTACTCTCCATGAAAACATGCAGAGAACAAAACCTATTAAGGTACTATCCTCATAAGACAATTTTATGTAGTTTTAATAAGAGTAGCAAAAGGCATATGCAGACAGATTTCAAGTTAATCAGTGAATAATTCCTTAGGGATTTTCTCTGAGAAATTCAACTCAAATTTGGTTTTAACTGTGTAGTTCATATACTTTTTCTACCTGTTATTCTTTATCCCAACTTGAATGTAATTCATCAGTTGTATTTTAGGCATCAACTAATATTTTTTCTATAAGATCAGTTTTCTCTTCGTAGTTAAGAAATATGATTTATTAAAAATAAAAGCATAAATTATAGTTTACCCTAGGCCAACTACTCTTCTATGTTTAATATAATGATAAATTAATATAATCCTCAATAATTTAAAGTCAAATAATGTGTTCTTATTTATACATGAAAATTAATTTGAAGAATCTTATATTTATTTAACATTTGTTTTTTAAATTAGCTACATTTAATATTTTTTAAAATTCCAGAAGCAATATTGTTATGATGATATTTTTAAGGTGGTTCATAGCATTTCAACAGATGCTATACAGTTCATTATTACAATAGTTATTGGAAATCAAAGCTTATTTTTTTTGTAGTAACATGCTCTTTTTTAAAAAGAGCATTTATTGGAAATCTTCCTCCAAAATCATCACAAAAGTATCCTACTCTTACAACACTTATAATTTTAAAAGTTTCTGATTTTTCGCCTCTAGAATTCAGAAGCAATATAACCCATGAGTTGTTCTTAACATTTCAGTAGAGGCCCTAAGCCTATGATAATCCATTTAACCTATTATCTCATAGAACAAGTTAGCATTCTAGAAGTACAGGACAGTGTAGTAAAAAAAAAAAAAAAAAAGAGTTTCTTCCCTATATGCATGCCTGATCACAGACATTTCTCATCTATATCCTATTAACTATTTTCCCGGGTTTCTAGTTGTTAAGCACTCATTCACAGATCTCAAAGACATATTCAGGAAAGGAATCCAAATAAACTAGCTTAAATAAATATGAATATAACAGATATATTTTTAGAAAGCCTTTGCAAATACATATAAAACTAAAATTGATGAAATTATACACTATCAATATAAAATATTTCAGACAGTTAAAGACAAATTACTTTTGGCAAGTAGACTGCCATTTAACTAGACAGTCTTACTTTATTAGACTTTATTCTCTTCTCAACACTGAGAAGACACATAGAATATGTGATACACACATATACTATCTAGCTTTGAGCCAGAGAATTTCTGTTTTCCATGTTTTATGATAGAAACAACCATGGTTTACTTCTTCCTTATCTTAATAGGAATAAAAATAAAAATATAAAAGACCTATAGTTTACGACTTTGTAATTACAGTGAACTTTTAGAAATTTTATATTTTAAGCTTAATCTTTGATTTTGAACATTTCTGACTTTAGTTTTCTTTTTTCCCTTAACATCTTGTATTAGTTTGCTAGGGATGTCATAATAAAATAACATAGACTAGGTGGTTTAAACATGGGAATTTATTTTCTCACGGTTTTTGGAGGCTAAAAATTCAAGATCAAAGTTTCACCATGGTCAGTTCCTTCTGAGGCCTTGCTTCTTAGCTTTCAGATAGCTGCTTACTTGCTGTATCCTTAACATGGTCTTCTCTCTGTTTAGGTCTGTGTTCTATCTCAGTATTTCATAAGGACACCAATCAGATTGAATTAGAGTCCACCAAAGTGACCTCAATTTACCTAAAATGCCTCTGAAAAGCCTTTTCTCCAAATACTCTCACATTCAGAGGTAGATGGCTTTAATATATAAATCTGGGAAGAACTTAATTCAGTTCATAACACATCTCCACAAAGTAGCTAATGGTCTTCTAAATTAATGCTTTAATGTATTTTGTAAGCAAATTTGATTGTTTTGAACATTTCAGTCTCTTTGATTTTTGTTGCTTTTCTCTTTCTATTTCTTGGTGTTTTTCCAACTACATTTTCAGGTCTTTGGAGATAAAAAAATATTGTGGTTTTGTGTTTGCAAGTTTATTTTTAAAATGATCTTTCTGAAATCATAAAACACATTTAAATATGGTTTTCCTAGCTATAATTTCATGCTGACATTCACGCATGAGTTCAATTCTTTACATTTAGTTGTGAATTTCTACCTCATACCATGTTGTCATATTTCAGATTAGGATGTATAAAAGAAATATCTTTTTGTTATGAAGAAGTCATTTCAGATGACTAAGACAGCACCTTATGTGTTAGATTACAGTATAAAATAAATGATAAATTGTTATTTTTCCCTTTTAGTAGATATGTTTCTAAAAACTAGCAAAAGAAAGAATTTTAAATTATATCTGGCTACCTGCAGTTAAAAGTACCAATCTATGGAAAATAGCTGCTATTGCCAAGAGTACAATTTCTTTCTGTATATTGCCTAAGAATACACAGGAGTAACATTTTCTTTTTACTTCCAACAGGAAAAAAAGAGTTT